TTTCTTTTAAATAATGATTCTAATAAGTAAATCAAATCGTTATCGAACATCAGTGCCGACCGGGTCTAGCTAATAGTTTTATAGAGTTATTATGTTTAATATATATTATTGGCGATTTTTAACATTGCTCAGCAAAATATGTAGACATTGACTGATCCACAAGTAATGTTCAAGAAGTCTGAAACATTTTTGAATTAACAAAAGCCGCATTTCTATTTTAACGGAATCTCAAAAAGTTGTTTAAGTTTTGTGCTCGGACTTTAAAAAATTAACTTCTATCATATTCATATTCTTATTCATAAGTATATGAATATTTGTTGGGTAGTGTTAAAAATTATAATATGTATGCTTCAAAATCCTTTCTTAAATCTTTGCTATTACTTACCTGATTTATATAAAACAAAAATAATAATTAAATTTAACTTTATGTTACTTGTACAAAAAGAAAATAAAAAAAGAATAAAATATTTAACAATACAGTTTTTTTTAATTTAAGAAAAATCATATATATTTTCATAAAAACACACAAACATAAGAAAAAAATATAAAAAAACAACAACAGCTTAATTACCTGATTTATAATTATTAATTAATTTATTGATTTATTAAATACAAAAACAAAACAATTAAAACAAATGCAAATAAAGTACGCAATATAATTAATTTATTAGACATTTAGTTTCATCTATATTAATAAAACAAGGTGCTGAAATAAAACAAAATAATTTATTGATAAAAATTAATATATTTAACAAAGCAAGTACATGAAAAATAAAAGTAGTAGTTTTAAACACATATCAACTAATTTTCAAAATAATAATAAATGAAAATAATTAAACAAAAAATATATATAAAACACTTAAAACAGTATTAAAAATTGTAAAGAATTATATAGAAACATTTTTTGTTTGAATTTTGATTTTGAATTACTGCAGTAATAAACTAAACCAAAAGTTAATAAGTTATAAACTTATTCATATTATTTCTAAAATAACAGTTTCAGTATAAATTAAAATCAGCTGTGTATAACATGTTATAAAAGGTTAAAGGTCATCATTTGTTTACTTTTAGTTTTTACTTATCCTTAAATCAAAATTAATTTCAAACTTTTTTCTAACTAGTAGATACAATCCGTTGTCAAAAATAAGCTTAACACGTTTGTTAACATTGTCATTTTGGCTATGCATCGTTGTCATTTCGACAACGCAACGTTTTGTTTGAAAACATAGCGTTGACACTTTGGTAACACATTATTATTTTTTGTTTGTTTTGATAACGTAGTGTATTTTTTATATTTTTGTTATTGATTTGACAACTATCCAAACATACTTTGACAACGGATGTTATTGAAAAATTATAAACACTTTGGTGTCAATTTGGTACCAGGCGGGTATAATTTTAAAACGCCTTTTTTCTCTCTGTGTATTTATTTCAGCTTTTAGTTTATCAAATGACTTTTAACCTAAAGTATTTCAGTTTGATTTGAATTGTCTTTAATTTGTTTACAACAAGACAAAAGACTTCTATTACATTATTTTCCATATTTGCCCCAAATCTAAGTTATTTTATCTATAAATATTTTCTAAAAATATTTTCGTAGGCTGATTATTTTCAAAATAAAAAAATTAAAAATATGTATAAATTGAAATCTAAAAGAATATTTGAATACGTTGAAAACGTTTAAATACTGTATGCGTTATAAGTTTTGAAATGGCAAAAAAGGCAATTCTTTAAAACAATTAAGAAAAACATTTTAATTATGTGTAATAATGAAAAAAAAAATAATAAAATTGTATATAAAAACTTTCAAAGTTTAATGTTTAATAAAATGAAAAACACAAACAAAATTATTAAATAAAGTTAAAATTTATATAAAATTATGTATAATTTTTTGTAAGATTGGTCGGATTCTGTTATCAACAGGTTGCGTCAATTAATTTCAGTGTTATGACCTCACAATATAAAGGAATGTGTAGGATTTCACAGGGAGGCTTTAGAGAGTTTTGTTAGAAAAGTAAAATAAGACTGCGACCCGCTGGATAAGGCTTTGTATAAAATAATGTGAAAAAATCGGTATCATATTAGCGATTGACGGCAATTTTCAAGATAATTTGATGAAATTTGGCACATACCTATATTTCTCGTAGCCCAATACAACCGTGCCCCAGAATAGGGCTTTTAAGCTTATAATTATGTTAAATGTTCTAGTATCTCTACAAAAATCGGTATGTTACTGTTGATTTTCCTATTGATCGGGTCTCATTTGACCCTAGCCCCTTCAGAAAATTACTAGAATGTCACTAATTATTTAACACTAGTATCGGGATATAATTCTATATAAATAATTGTAATGAAAACGTAAATCCCTTTACCAACCATATTTACCCTTGGCCCCGCATAACCCCTCTTTCATAAAATCATTTTTTTGTCAACAAATTATTAAAATATTTTGGAATTGAGGCAAAAAACAACTTAAATGCTTTATTATTAAAAATAATCCACATTTTTCACATATGTACTGCTGTAGGGTATCATATGGTCGGCCATGCAATATATACTTACTTGTTTTTAGGTTATAAAATGTATATTTAGTAAATATATGTATACAAACAAGTGCATGTCTAAGCAATTTATAGATAAAAATAAGAAATGTGTTATATGAGACGTGACCAGACATCCCGCCAAAAGAGGGATTATCCGATTTTTAATAAAAAAAATCCCGCTTTTTGTTACATAACAGGTCAATTCATCCATAATTTTATTGTAATCAATTTGGGATTTATTATTTAATAGTTTAAACTTTAAATTAAAAAAATTTGTTATAAAATAGAGATTCGAACGATATATTCTAGTGTTTCTTAATAACTTTTCAAAATGTGGGTAAATTTTAAATAAGAATTTTTCAGTTCGACTTTTAAAGTTGGTCAAAAAAAGAAAAAAAATCATATTATTTTAAGTGATAAGTGAAAAAAAAACTGCTGTGCTTTTTTGCCGAGTGAGTTACAAGAAAAATATCAATCCAATTTTTTGACCAGTATTTTAAGTTCCCGAACTACTGAAGAATTTAATTTACCCTCAATTAAATTGACTGTGTCAGGAGAATCAGGAGAACTAAGTACTTCCGCTAGTGTTCCCATTTTGATTTGCCTAAAATTTGGGGTGTGAGATTTGTGTTAACTTAAGAGTTTTTCTGAATTTAAACTTTGTATGGGACCTAAGGTTAAATGAGGAACGAACGTTATTAAAATCGGCAGTATGTATATTTTAGATCTGCCGTTATTTGAACTAATAATATTATAATTAGTCAGTAACTCAAAATAGCTTTTAACTATTTTTCTTTTCGAATCAAAGAATTTGCTATAACATGACATCGATTTGTTGTTGCATATTTTTGCATATTTTGCTATAAACGCATAAATTGCATATTTTGTTTTAAATTGCATATATTTTACATATTTCTCAAATTTTTATTGCAGTTTTTTTTTTCTAGTTAAAATTGTGTTTTTAATTTCTTTGTGTTACATATTTTTTCAAAATAAATTTGATATTTACTTAAGAAAAAATAACTAGGCTCAATCGGTAAAACTATGAAATTAAACTTTAGATAGTTCTAGTTATTTTTAAAATCTACACTACTATAGTGGGACGTTTGTGGCGATGACTTTTAACGTACGCATCTGTCTAACCCTAACCCCCATACAAAATATCCTTCAGAAATTGGCTTCAACGTCCATAATTCACTTAAAAATACACCACGCGATAAAATTCGAAATAAATAGAGGTTATACAAACATACATCCTCTCAATAATTTTATTAGGATAGGACAATTTTTGACACCATCCCATATAGAAACACTCTTTTGGATAGTAAATTTTTCATCCAAAATTGTTTAAATATAACGGGATTAAAGCAAATTTTACATAAGTGCGCTAATTTTTAAATTAAATCATATTTTAAAATATATTCGTAATAGGTGTAGGGTACCATATGGTCTAAAGTGTTATTTAAATTTCACAAAACAATATTTTTAGTGCATATCATTCACATTTTTAGTGCATATTTTCCTATTTTATTGTGCATATTATAAGCGCATATTTTGCATTTTTTAGTGCATGAAAATCCTTGCCTTGATTGTGGTTGTGTGGTAGTAAGGTGTAATAATGGGCCGATTTTAAAAATTTTCAGCATACTTCGTCTTTGGTGCAACAAAAAATCACACACAAAATTTTGTCGCATTATCTACAAAAATAAAAAAGTATAAGGAGCGAGCGAGAGATATAGGGGAAAACGAATGAATAATATGTTTTAGTCAAAATGGATTCCTTTGGAATCGTTTTGGTTTTTAGTATTTTCTTCTCAATGAAATAAAACTGCATTAATTTCCTGCTTCCCTTTAAATATATTTTTTTATTTATTAAATTTTGTGTTTTTAACAGTTTTGTTTTTATTGTTTTTTCTTATACATACAAGTATGTTTTACATTTCATTTAATGTTTTTGTTTTTAATCAAATTAAATCAAATAGTTATAACCAAAAATAGTATTTATACCAAATATTATTACATTTTCAAATTATATTACGACGACATTCACATATACATAGATATTTTTCAGCTATTAATGCTGATTTGTAAGCAGTTTAAATGAATTTCGGTTATTTTACTAATGAGTAAAGAATCAGTAAAATAGAACTTTTGAAAGTAGTAAAAATTCAGAAATTTAAAAGCTTAATATATTAATGAGCTTTGTTACCAATTTATAGTTGCTTACCAGGTAATTTAGAAAATATGTAATGGAATCAGTAAAGTAAATAAAATTTGAATGAAACTTTCAAATCAGCAATATTTTCTTAAATTATATAGTTTTCATGTTGTTTTGAATGATTTGAGAATAAATATATATATTTTTAATTTTTTGTTTAAATATGTTTGTATGTATACAATATTTGTTATATATTTATGAATATATGTTTATTTAAATTTAAGTATATTTATGTTGTTTTTTCTATACTTTAATTCTTATTTAATTTTTTAAATTAAACTTATTAACTAACATCAAGTCTTTCTAGTTATGATTTCTATAAAAACTTTCTTCATTTTTAATGTTTGGTTTTTAATTGTTTTTGTTGTTGTTTTTTTTTTATATAAGTATAATTTATTTTCAATAAATATGTATTTTATATGTATGTATATATAATAATAATTACATAGTCATTTAGTTGTTTTGGATATATAAATATAAATTATTTGATTAGATTCTGTTTGAACAAGAATTTTTTTTATCAAGTCGTTTTTTACACTTTCCTTCCTTTGAATGTTTATTTTTTTATTAATTAAATTAATATTCTTTAAGGTTTTTGTTTTATGATGTATTACAGTTTTGGACCATTTTAATTGGGTATTTTATACATTTACTTACATGGATATATTTATATATATATATTTAGAAGATTACATATTTTGTTAAACAAAAGTAATTTAAGGTTTTAGTCATTTTTATAGATAATAATTTTAGTTTTTGAAGTTTCCAAATAATAATTTTACTAAGGAGATTTGTATTCTAAAAATCTGAGGGAAAAAAGCACTTATTATATCGTATTAGGGATATATTTCTAAAATAATCATATTGTGGTTTCAAGTAATCATTTTAAAGTTTCAAGTAACCATATTATGGTTTCATATTGTCAAGTAAGCATATTATGGCTTCCAGTAACCATATTATGATTCAAGTAATCATATTATGGTTTCAATTAACCATGTTATAGTTTCAAGTACAGTGCGCGCTGGACAACAGAGAGATAAAAGTCGTTGTTTACGCGAACGATGTTGTGTTATTAGCATCAGAAATGTTCCCAGACGTGATTAGTGATATCATGTCTAATGCTTTGGTGCTACTCGATAATTGGGGCACAGACAGCTGCCTAGGAGTAAACCCAAACAAGAGGAAACTGGTACTATTCACAACAAAGACCAAGATTCCAAGCTTCAACTTGCCAAATATCTAGGAATTAGATATTTATAAGAATAGTCCTATTCGTCCTATTCTTATTTATGGATCTCTTGTATGGTGGACTTCAACAAAGAAGAAATTTGATGAAGATCAGCTATGCAAAGTTCAGAGATCAGCATACATTGGGATAACAGGTGCTCTAAGAACTAGTCCTTCAGAAGCTCTGAACACTATATTGCATATCCTACATAAAGATCTGCATATTATGGCCATATCTGCTTGCAGCGCAGCGAGGCTTAACCCATCCAGAAGTTGGAAATCAAGAGTTTTCAAAGGAGCTAGTGTGGTGTAGGGGTAACCTACCGAGCGAATATACCACCAGAATCTTTACAGATGGTTTTAAAATGAACTGTGGTATTGGTTCTGGTGACTTCTGTGAAGAAGCTGGGATAAGTATATCTCACTGTCTTCCCAACAATATTCGCTATAATGTCAGCTTGTAGGGTACTACATGACCTCAATATTCGAGGCAGCATAGGAATTTTTATCGATAGTCAAGTGGCACTTCTCTCATTAAATTTTTATACTACTACTTCCCTATTAGTTAGACAATGCAAAAAAGATCTGTCAAGGTTGTGTCGCCTGTCTGACAGTACCCATGTTTGGGTCCCTGCGCCCCTATTATGGAAATGAACAGGCAGATGAGATTTTCAGAACGAGATCTGATCTTGATATCACCTACGCCGTTCCAGTAGCAACCCCTTTAGGTTTTATCAAGAGTAGTATCCTTGATTCTATTTTCAAAAGGATGGAAAAAGGTGGAATTACTTAGACACATGTAAAGGGACCAAGGGACCTCCTTCAATGAGAAACGCACAAAACTCCTTATAAACCGAAGTAGACGGGATATATCGAGATTGATAATAGTAATACAAGTCGGCTTGGGCTACACTTCAATGAACACTGACACAGTTGTAAAGACAGGGAAAAGGAAGAAACGGTCTTCCATCTTCACTACGAATGCCCTGACTTATCCGTTTAAAGATCCCGTTTTCTTGACAGTTACTTTATATCTAACCTTGGTGAAATATCTGGTTCCAAGATTAATGATTTTATGAGATTTCTGACTGCTACAGGATGCATCTAATACTATGCAATACTACATCTGACGAGTAGAGTGGTCCGGTCAAAATGGAGTCTCTTCGACTCTACTTGACTGTTCGCGCGCAGTGAACTACCACGTTAACCAATCAATCTTTATAATAGCAACTTTTTTCAAAAAATAGTCGCTAAAGTCGCAGTGAAGTTTGAAGTCTCGAATTCTTTTTTAGATTTAGTTTTTAACTTATCTAAGAAAATATATATATTTTTTATTATTTTATATTTTATTATCTGCAAAGAATCAATTGTTTTGACTAGTTCTTGTTAATTCACAGCTAATATATTTAAATAAATTTTAATAACTGGCTTTTAGAATACATTGCTTAGATTTTAAAATAAATTTTAATAAAATATGTTCTACAATTTTTGAACAAAAATTATAAAATAAATAATTTATATTGGGGTAAATATTTTTACATTAAAATTTTCATTATTTTCGCCAAAATATTTCAGCATATTTTTGCTAAAGAATGTCGAATTTTTTTTTTCGAAACATAAAAATACACATTCAATTTTGAGTTAGATATTTTTTTTTTTTAATAAATTTTTGTACGATATGTTTTTCTAATAGTTTTAATAATAATGACTGTTAGAAATAAAATGATTCTGAGAAATAAAAAAGTTATCCTATAAATTAAATTATTTGTGCTTAAAAATACTATTTCGCAAAATATTTATAAAGTCTTTGTTTACTAATATTTCTTGCAGATTTTTTCTTCTGTATTATTTTAAAGTGTAAATATAGTATTATTTATTATAAATATATGTACTATGTACTATGTCTGTATGTTGTAATGTATATTGGGATTAATAAGCATCTCTACTGAGTTCTAATAAATAGAATAAATATAGTTAGTATAATTTTGAATTGTTAGCAAAAATATTTCCAAAAATAAGCAGATTAAAAAGACAAATTTATAAATGTTTTTTTTTTTTCACTAAAATACGTAGTATAATTAAGAGTTAGCGAGATTAGTTGACTAAACTGAAAAAAAACAGCGTTTTGTTGTTCGTTAAAAGAAATGTTTATAAATACATATGTATATAATTTTTAAATGTAGGTTCGTATATAGTCTCTCCTAGTGTTGTATATAAACTCGTCTACCATCTCGTCGATTTTTTCTATAAAATTGTCTCTATAGACCCGCCTAATAACTCGTCTATAGGATCATTAAAAACTTTTGTATATGCTCTATAAAATAGTATATAAAATTGTCTTTAAATAAACCTATATTAAATGTATTTATTTATAAGTATAGAGTCTCGTATATATTGACTCTCTCTATAATCTTTAGACATGTCTATGAACTCGTTTCTAGACATGAGTATAAACATTGTTATAGACTTGTCCATGAATTCGTCTATAGACTTATCTATAAACTTGAATTTTTCTGTGAACTCCGCTATGAACTGGTCTGTAAATTCGTCTTTAGACTAATCTTTGAACTCATTTATGAACTCTTTTATAGACTCATCTATGAACTCGTTTATAGTCTCATTTAAAAACTCGTCTGTAGACTCATCTATTTACTGGTCGGTAGAGTCATCTATGAACTAGTTTATATAATCATCTAACAACTCGTCTATAGACTCGGTATGAATTCTATGAACTCATCTATAAACACCCTTATAAGTTTATCTATTAACTCTTTAGACTTGTCTGTGAATTCATCTATAAGCTGATTTCTACACTAGTCCATAAACTCATATATAAACGCGTTTGTATATACTTATCTATAAACTCGTCTATGAATTTGTCTGTTAACCCGTCATTAGATTTGTATAGGAACTCGTCTACGACTCATCTATAAATTCATCTAAAGACTTATCTACGAAATCGAGATTCCTAATAACTCTTCCATGAGCTCTTCTATGAATTTCTATATTAACTATATAAACTGGTCTATAGATTCGTTCATATACTCATCTCCGAACTTGACTTAGAATCATTTATGAACACATCAATACATTCATCTATGAACTCGTCTAAAGACTTATCTATCAAATCGTCTCTAAACTAATCTACGAATTTGTATGTTAACTCGTCATTAGACTTGCCTATGAAATTATCTATATGCTGGTCCATAGATTCTCATATATACATATATATACTATTCTGCGAACTCGCTTATAGACTTGTCTATGAACTCTATATACTCATCTGTGAACTCTTCTATGAATATGTCTGTTAACTCGTCATTAGACTTGCCAATGAAATTATCTATAAGCTGGTCTATAGATTCGCATATATGTATACTATTCTGCGAACTTGCTTATAGACTTGTCTATGAGCTCGACCTAAAACTCTTCTGGAAATTAGGGTGTTTTGTATACTTGGGTTTCTTAATACTCATTTATAAACATTTCCTTTTTTAAATTTTGGGAGACGTGATGCCGAGATATACATATATATGCAAATTTTCGATATGTAATATATCAAAAGATCGACAAAATTTTATTTTAAAATTGCGTTTAATAAGAGATAAGAATGATTTATGAACCTGTAATCAGTGTTTTTATTATGTTTAATTTATATAAAATATGATTTACATTCACGTCTCTTTGCTATATTTTAAAAGAAAGTTATTATAAAAATGGTGTTATAATTTCACAAAAAATATGTAGATATAAATGTGTTAATGTTAAATAAATTTCATTTTTATCAATATAAAATATACATATACATATTTACCGCATACTAAAGACCTTCTTTCTACAAGTTTTGGTTTTGTTGTTTTTATTTTCTTCGTTTTTATTTCTAACCACCCGTATTCGATACCCCACATTTCGAACGCAATATGGCAGCTAATCTTTGAGTCAAAGGTTCTGTGGGCGATTCAGAATCACTACACGAGGCTGAGGGTACTTTATTGCCATTACTAACATCCAAATCTGTGGTATGTAAATCTTTGGGAAAATGTAGATTTGCAGGCACAATGTCATCTTCTTCCTCCAGCAAAAGACTTGAATATGAATGTGTGGTGTTGTCACTGCGACTGCTGCCTTTGCCACCGCTTGATGAGTTGCGAGATGAGTTTGAAATATTAATTGCCGCCTCGACACCACAAGCATTTGCCGATGAAGCATCCAAATCTAAAACATCACCTACAAGTATTTGTTGTTCATCAACGGGTAAATCATCACCACTACTGCTCATAATATCATCTTCATCATCCACGTCCTCGTCGTCATCATCATCATCATCCTCTTCGTCGTCATCTTCACAGTCATCATCATCTTCATCGTCATCTTCTACATCTTCGTCACTTAAACTGGCGTCCATAGAACCACAACCTTCCTCTTCATCTCCCTCCACTTCATCCTCTTCTTCAACTTCTGCACTACTACTGGTGCTAACATTTGAATTTGGATCATTATTTTCTGTACCCATAACAGCGGCTCCTTTCGCACCACCACCGCCTCCACTATTATACGCTCCCTCTCTAATATGTCTCAAATATTGTTCATCATGTTCGTCACTCTCCCCAGCCGAGGGATCTGATGATGGTGCCTCCAATATTAATTCAGGTGATGATGACGATTTATTATAGTTTTCATCGCTGTCACTGGATGTATTGGTACCTGTGATTTGTAATAAAGTTGAGAAATTACTTAAATAGAATTTCTTTAGAAAATTAAATTTCTTAATGAAATTAAAATTCTTCAGGAAAAGTAAAAAAAAAGAAATTCTTGAGGAAATTATATTTTTTGTAAGAATAGATATACTTTTCATCTATAAAGTTGTCGAGAGACTTATCTATGAACTCGTCTATGGACTCATCTATAACTTCTCTATAGATTCATCTTTAGACTCATCAATGAACTTGTCTATAAACTTGTCAATGATCTTATCTGTATGTAGACTTATCCGTGAACTCGTCTACCGACTCATTTACTAAGTCGTCTATGAATTTTATCTATAAACTCGTGTTCTGTAGACACTTGTACGATTTTTTTGTTAACTCTTGAGACCTGAACTTTTCTATAGACTCGTTTAAGAACTGGTCTATGGATTAGTCTATATACTCATCTTTGAACTCAAAATTTTTCAGTCCTTCAATGTATATCCTACTCGTGAATTTATACATAGATATTCCCTAGAATTGGGTGTATTGGAACACAATTAAGTTAAATCTCTAATATATCTCTTTTATTTATTACTTTATGTGATTGGGAGGGACATATGTACGTGTAAAAGCTAAAGGAGAAGAGGGAAGAGAGCTCATCAGAAAGCTGCCTATACTAGTTATAAACTCAAATTTTTTATATCAAAATTACTTCCTATTTATATTTCCATAACTGTTATGTATTACATACCCCGTAATTTATCCAATATCAGGGGATAAAACTCTTTTGCTGTGGAATTATCTGGTTCATATTGTAAAACTGTAATGATAATAAAATATTTGGATTTACTTGTATAATTTATGTTTTGATTAAAACTTTGTTTTTTGAACATTTTCTGTTGTGGGAAAATTGTGGCAAGATTTTAACAAAACATTTTTTTCGCTCTACTTACTCAGTTTGCAGTATTTTAAAGCCTTCTTGTAATCCTTGAGCATGACAGCAGATAGAAACTTTTGAAAATAAAATTAAAAATAAATTTAATAGTTTTGTTATAAAATTTTAAATGATTTTAAAATAATAACTCTACCTATATAAGGAAAACATTTACAAATAAAATCTGACACCAGTTTGTAGGAAGATTAATCTTAAATCAGTTATTTTTTCGAAAGGTCATAGGTTAAATTTATTAATATTCATTTTCAATGTTTTATTTGTTTCAATATTTCTGTTGATTCGTTTTTTTTTTTTGTTTATTATTTCTATCAGCATTTTTTCCTTGCATTCTTAATCCCCAAATGAAATTGGAATTTTATTTCGTTTTTGTTTAAGTTGGTTGTCCCCAAAAAGAGTCTTTGCCCTTAACAAAACAATCCTCTCGTCTATTTCGGTTTGCTACCTAAATGGTTGTGTTTATTAAACTATAATACTTAAAAAAATAAAAAAGTATAGTCGGCATATTCGACCCTATGATAGGATACAAAAGTAATGAATATATTTAAAGGGGGCCCAAACGACAAACGGGTACTTTTGCAACACTGATAAGTTTCAAACCCGTTTTCGTTCACTCAAAGTCTGATCTTCATCCTTATTTACATTATAAATTCTTGGCACCAACTTGCACTAAGTTTGGGTTAAGGTATCTAAACTTTCTTATGATCAATTTCATACCGCTGCTGTAACGCATTATTTTACCTCCTCCACTACAATGGTATAGGGTATTATGTAATGGTTAGGTTAAAAAACCTTTCAACCTGAACCTTCTCATAGCAGTTTAGTATTATATTTTTATTTTTTATTGTTTTTTGTAAAACATTTAAAAACTAAGTAGTTTTCCTCCACTTATAACTTTTTAAACAGTTTTTTGGAATACAAATTTTAAACAGAAGTTTAGTATGAGTTGTTATGCTGTTTAGGAAAACACATACTTACATTGTACTTATGAGATGTAAGTTTTAAAGTGTTTACCATTGAGGAGCAAATAATGGCATATGTATATCGTTTTAGGAATATCAATGAACTAAGTTACAATTATTGTTTAAAATTTTGTAAAAAGTTTATTTTTTATTTTCCTCTATATATAGCCTTAGTTTTAATTAAATTAATTTCTTATGATTCATGCTTACCTCCGCTAAAAATTCGGTTGGTGCTGATATGCTTTCGTCGGCATCTGTGTACTCCGATAGACTTTGACTGAGATCTTCATTAGATACGGAATTCGGTAGTTGTACACCACCCACACAAGATGCGGCAGCAGATGCAGCTGCTGTGGCAGCATTTGATGCTGCTGCCATTATATTGTTGATATTATTTGTATTACAATTGTTGTTATTGTTGTGATTATTATTGTTGTTGTTGATGTTAATATTAATGTTGTTGGAAATGTTATTGTTATTTTTAATATTTGTATTATTTATTGTTCTGCTAACGCTTGCGACGGCGCCTGCTGCTGTTGTTGTAGTAGTAGAAGTTACATAACCACCATTGCCATTCGATTCATCCATAAAAAGTAACTGAATACAGAGAAGGTTGAGTATGTATTAGATTTATTAAGAAAATTTTTTTCAGCGAACAAATTTTTATAGCTTATAGTCTAGTCTATAGTCTAGTCTATAGTATAGACTAGTCTATAGTCTAGTCTATAGTCTAGTCTATAGTCTAGTCTATAGTCTAGTCTATAGTCTAGTCTATAGTCTAGTCTATAGTCTAGTCTATAGTCTAGTCTTATAGTCTCGTTCATAGTCCTAAGTCTATAGTCTAGTCTATAGTCTAGTCTATAGTCTAGCTATATAGTCTAGTCTATAGTCTAGTCTATAGTCTAGTCTATAGCTAGTCTATAGTCTTAGTCTATAGTCTAGTCTATAGTCGTAGTCATAGTCTAGTCTATAGTCTAGTCCTATAGTCTAGTCTATAGTTTAGTCTATAGTCTAGTTCTATAGTCTAGTCTATAGTCTAGTATATAGTCTTAGTCTATAGTCTAGTCATAGTCTAGTCTATAGTCTAGTATTAGTCTAGCTATAGTATAGTCTATAGTTTCTAGTCTATAGTCTAGTCTATAGTCTAGTCTATAAGGTCTAGTCTATTAGTCTAGGTCTATAGTCTAGTCTATTAGTCTAGTTTCTATATAGTCTAGTCTATAGTCTAGTCTATAGTCTAGTCTATAGTCTAGTCTATAGTCTAGTCTATAGTCTAGTCTATAGTCTAGTCTATAGTCTAGTCTATAGTCTAGTCTATAGTCTAGTCTATAGTCTAGTCTATAGTCTAGTCTATAGTCTAGTCTATAGTCTAGTCTATAGTCTAGTCTATAGTCTAGTCTATAGTCTAGTCTATAGTCTAGTCTATAGTCTAGTCTATAGTCTAGTCTATAGTCTAGTCTATAGTCTAGTCTATAGTCTAGTCTATAGTCTAGTCTATAGTCTAGTCTATAGTCTAGTCTATAGTCTAGTCTATAGTCTAGTCTATAGTCTAGTCTATAGTCTAGTCTATAGTCTAGTCTATAGTCTAGTCTATAGTCTAGTCTATAGTCTAGTCTATAGTCTAGTCTATAGTCTAGTCTATAGTCCTAGTCTATAGTCTAGTCTATAGTCTAGTCTATAGTCTAGTCTATAGTCTAGTCTATAGTCTAGTCTATAGTCTAGTCTATAGTCTAGTCTATAGTCTAGTAGTCTAGTCTATAGTCTAGTCTATAGTCTAGTCTATAGTCCTAGTCTATAGTCTAGTCTATAGTCTAGTCTATAGTCTAGTCTATAGTCTAGTCTATAGTCTAGTCTATAGTCTAGTCTATAGTCTAGTCTATAGTCTAGTCTATAGTCTAGTCTATAGTCTAGTCTATAGTCTAGTCTATAGTCTAGTCTATAGTCTAGTCTATAGTCTAGTCTATAGTCTAGTCTATAGTCTAGTCTATAGTCTAGTCTATAGTCTAGTCTATAGTCTAGTCTATAGTCTAGTCTATAGTCTAGTCTATAGTCTAGTCTATAGTCTAGTCTATAGTCTAGTCTATAGTCTAGTCTATAGTCTAGTCTATAGTCTAGTCTATAGTCTAGTCTAGTCTAGTCTATAGTCTAGTCTATAGTCTAGTCTATAGTCTAGTCTAGTCTAGTCTATAGTCTAGTCTATAGTCTAGTCTATAGTCTAGTCTATAGTCTAGTCTATAGTCTAGTCTATAGTCTAGTCTATAGTCTAGTCTATAGTCTAGTCTATAGTCTAGTCTATAGTCTAGTCTATAGTCTAGTCTATAGTCTAGTCTATAGTCTAGTCTATAGTCTAGTCTATAGTCTAGTCTATAGTCTAGTCTATAGTCTAGTCTATAGTCTAGTCTATACTCTAGTCTATAGTCTAGTCTATAGTCTAGTCTATAGTCTAGTCTATAGTCTAGTCTATAGTCTAGTCTAGTCTAGTCTATAGTCTAGTCTATAGTCTAGTCTATAGTCTAGTCTATAGTCTAGTCTATAGTCTAGTCTATAGTCTAGTCTATAGTCTAGTCTATAGTCTAGTCTATAGTCTAGTCTATAGCTAGTCTATAGTCTATAGTCTAGTCTATAGTCTAGTCTAGTCTAGTCTATAGTCTAGTCTATAGTCTAGTCTATAGTCTAGTCTATAGTCTAGTCTATAGTCTAGTCTATAGTCTAGTCTATAGTCTAGTCTATAGTCTAGTCTATAGTCTAGTCTATAGTCTAGTCTATAGTCTAGTCTATAGTCTAGTCTATAGTCTAGTCTATAGTCTAGTCTATAGTCTAGTCTATAGTCTAGTCTATAGTCTAGTCTATAGTCTAGTCTATAGTCTAGTCTATAGTCTAGTCTATAGTCTAGTCTATAGTCTAGTCTATAGTCTAGTCTATAGTCTAGTCTATAGTCTAGTCTATAGTCTAGTCTATAGTCTAGTCTATAGTCTAGTCTATAGTCTGGTCTATAGTCTAGTCTATAGTCTAGTCTATAGTCTAGTCTATAGTCTAGTCTATAGTCTAGTCTATAGTCTAGTCTATAGTCTAGTCTATAGTCTAGTCTATAGTCTAGTCTATAGTCTAGTCTATAGTCTAGTCTATAGTCTAGTCTATAGTCTAGTCTATAGTCTAGTCTATAGTCTAGTCTATAGTCTAGTCTATAGTCTAGTCTATAGTCTAGTCTATAGTCTAGTCTATAGTCTAGTCTATAGTCTAGTCTATAGTCTAGTCTATAGTTTAGCCTAAAGTCTAGCCTAAAGTCTAGCCTAAAGTCTAGTCTATAGTTTAGCCTAAAGTCTAGCCTAAAGTCTAGTCTATAGTCTAGTCTACAGTCTCCTCTATAGACTAGTCTAATCTATAGCATTTTAAATGTCAATTTATTGTCTTTACTATCTTAAAATTTTTAATTTAACTTGTTTTTTTCTTAAGTCATATTGTGTTGTTTTAAATCATTACAAACGGAAATTTTTAAACTAAATTCATTTCGTATTCAATTCGAATCTTACAACAATCGATAAAATAAAATAAAGTATTTCAATCTGTAAGAAATTGAATTATCAGAGTATTTTTGTAGTTATTAGTATGTCGTTACCTTAAATGGGAACGGCAGTAAGTAAAATATTGAACAATAATTGGCTTTATAAAGCCCCACCTTATATATTCGCTATAAATGAGAAATTTTTGTAAAAAAGTCAAAAGCATACTCTATTATATGCAGAAAATCGAAAGGGTCATAATAGGCATACAGACAGTCCTACGGCCAATATTTCGATTAGTTATAAACGATATAACAACAACATAAATTAATTCCAAAAAGGATATTAATTAAAACAGAATGTATTTAAGTAGCCCCGTTAGGTGGAAAGCTTCCTAAGTTATTTCTTAATATGTATGCATGTTTGTATTCTTAAAGCCTCTTACATTTTAGGTGACGCTATATGACAATTTGGTAGATACTTACATTCGACATGTTTCTTGAGAGAAAAGTGTGTTTTTGTTTTACACTAAATACACTTTAAAGGAAAATGACACACATACATTAACACCACAGCCATTCACACGCATTTATAAACGTTCACATTTGTACAAAACGGAAACGACAGACTGCTGATGTTTCTGCTGCCTCTGATTCTTGTGATATTTGCAGTTCTTCCCGTTTAACACTTCCGCTAAATTGATTTTTTCTATTTTTTCTCTATTATGTATATATTTTCTTTCGCTGAATTTTCTTTTCCACTTTTTATACCACTGAAGACTAATTTAATGCTTGAATATCCTCAAAAGGATTTATTTTTGCTCTATATACGATACAATTTGTTGAATGATGTTTTTTTTTCGTATATACGTATATTCTTCGATACGTTTTCGTTGTAGTAGTTTCTTTTTGCTGCTGTTGTAGTTTCTTTATTGTTATTTCTTTTGCCGTTTTTTTTTTTTGGTTTCGTAGGGTAATATAATTTTCAGTTCTTACTTCTGGACAGATACAGGTTTCATAAGATTGTCTGAAAGCGGAATATGAAGAAAATAAATAATTATTAATTTTTTATTAAGGGTTTAGTTAAATAATGTTCAATATTAATATCTTAAATTCTAAAAAATTTAAATTAAATCGTTTAACAAAAAGCCACAAAAACTGGTAGGGGACTAGTTGTTACTTTTAAAAAAAAAAACGTGTTCGCTGTTGCAAGAACTTGTTGCCACTTAAACGAAGTGTCTTTTATTTATTTTCCTTGCTTTGTTTATGATTCTATATAATCAATAAATTTAAAGTCCTTGATATATGACAAGTAATTGTAAGGGGGGATTTTAGTTGTCTTTTTTTCTCCTAAAGAAAAACAAACTATTAAACGTTTTTTCTTTAGAAATATACAAAATGTAAAGGAAAGGGCAAATGCCTCTTGTAGAGAAATACGTTAAAAAGCAATAAAGAAAATCCCCTTAAAAGCTGTTAAAATTGAATTAGACATGCAAGTTATTCACTTGCAACAAGAATCATCATACAGTTAAAAAGAGTAAAACACATACAAGCACACTTACTTAATAGTTTAAGCGGCAACAATTTCACACCATACTGCAACAATATTAAGTACAATCAACCAACATGTATGCAACAATCATTCACCACTTACTTTGTCTGTGTGTCAGTCAGACAGGCTGACATAGTCATTCATACACTTACACTTATAGTGATTAAAAAAAAAAAAAATTTATTTTTTTTATTCCTAACTACTTTGGTATACATATAAATTTAGTTCATTTAGGTGAATAATGAAATATCAGAGTTTCATAAAATTTAATCTTGCAGCTCCAATTTAGTCCTAAAGTAGTCTAATCTGTAGTCCTTACTATAGTTAAGAATATAGTCTAGTTTGTTATCTTGACTATAGTCTAGTCTACAATTATGACATTATAATACACTCAAGTTCTAAATATAGTTTATGGTTATTGTTACAGTTTATAGTCCAGCCCGTAGTATAGTCTTTAGACCTGAATATAGTTCATCCTAAAGTCTTGACTATAGTCTATTCTATAGTCGTGACTATATGCTATAGTCCTGACTATAACTAGTCTATAGTCCTGAATATAGTCTAGTCTATAGTTTTGACTATAGTCTAGTCTAGTCTAGTCTATAGTCCTGACTATAGTCCTGACTATAGTCTAGTCTATAGTCCTGACTATAGTCTAGTCTATAGTCCTGCTTATAGTCTAGTCTAGTCTATAGTCCTGACTATAGTCTAGTCTATAGTCCTGACTATGGTCTAGTCTATAGTCCTGACTATAGTCTAGTCTATATTCCTGACTATAATCTAGTCTATCATCCTGACTATAGTCTAGTCTATCATCCTGACTATAGGCTAGTGTATCATCCAAACTATAGTCCTGACTATAGTCTAGTCTATCATCCTGACTATAGTCTAGTGTATATTCCTACTACAGTCTAGTCTGTAGTCAGACTAAACTGACTATTGTCTAGTCCTGACTATAGTCTAGTCTATAGTCTTGGCTATAGTCTAGTCTATTGTCCTGGCTATAGTCTAGTCTAGTCAAGTCTATAGTCTAGTATATAGACCTGACTATAGTATAGTCTAGTCCTGACTATAGTCTAGTCAATAGTTCTGACTATAGTCTAGTCAGTAGTCCTGACTATAGTTCAGTCAGTAGTCCTGTCGATAGTTCAGTCAGTAGTCCTGACTATATTCTAGTCTTTAGTCCTGACTATATTCTAGTCTTTAGTTCTGACTATAGTCTAATCAGTAGTCCTGGGTATAGTGCAGTCACTATTTTCCAGTCTGTATTCCAGACTATAATCCAGTTTATAGTCCCAACTATAATCTAGCCTGCAGTCATGACTATAATCCAGTCTGTATTGCTGACTGTAGCTCTGTCAGTAGTCCTGACTATATTCTACTCTGTACTCCTGACTATAGTCTATTCTGTCGTTCTGACTGTAATCCTGTCTTTAGTCCTGAATATAATTCAGTCTGTAGTCCTGACTATAATCCAGTCTATAGTCCTGACTATAGTTTATAGTCCCAACTATAATCTAGCCTGTAGTCATGACTATAATCCAGTCTGTATTGCTGACTGTAGTTCTGTCAGTAGTCCTGACTATATTCTACTCTGTAATTCTGACTATAGTCTATTCTGTCGTCCTGACTGTAGTCCAGTCTTTAGGCCTGAATATAATCCAGTCTGTAGTGCTGACTATAATCCAGTCTATAGTCCAGTTTTACACAAAAAGCTGACATTCGCGAAACAAATGATGTAAAGTTGGCAATGTTGTGAACATTTTACATTTTTTCTCGATTATCCATTAAACGTTACAACAGATGTGATGGTAGGGCACAACTTAGATAATCATGAATTTGGCATTCGTAGTTTGGTTTTTACCAAACTGCATAAATAAATCATGGCATACTTTTAGGCGTCTTTATGCAACATGTCTCCCGCCAATTAAAAACAGTATATTTTGTATGTGTGTGTATGTGTTTCCTTTTCTAAAGGCCAACTTAATATTTTATTAAACGATAACTTTTATCTGGGTTTTTGCTAGTGGTATCTAACATTTTAAACATGCTATTTTCAGCGTCGTTGTTGTAGTTTTTGCCTGTCTGCATGCCTCTTGCATACATAGTTTGGTAACAACAAGTTTTTTTCATGTCTTCTAACAAAATGACACACACAAATAGTTATTAAGAAAAAATGAAAAAACCTAATAAAAACAGCTATAATTATACTTTGTCTAATGGATTTTTAGAATATTTCAAAAATAGTTGCCCTTTGGTTCTTTTTTTTTATTCTTTGCTACATTTCCTACCACATGTAAAGTTCCCAGGGTGTCGGCTTGCACATTAAAGGTCAGGGGAATATAACTATATATTTGTATGTACGTTTATCCAATTAGTGATAAGTAGCTGTGTTGCATGTATTGGCCGCTGAATTTTTGTAGTTTTAAGGGGGAGCAAACTTACAATTTTCTTAAATTTTACTGGTGGTTTCAAAAATAATTTAGTCATAGTCAAATCTATTGTCTTGACTATAGTTTAGTTTATAACACTGACTATAGTCAGTGTATAGTCTTGGCAATAATGAAGTTTATAGTTCTGCCTGTTATCTAGTCTATAATCCTTACTGTAGTCTGTTCTATAGCCCTAATTATAGTCAAATATATTGTCTTGACTATTGTCTAGTCTACAGTTATGACTAAAGTCTACTCTATAGTTTTTATTTTTCGAATTGAAAGAAACTTTATTGAAATTTTTTTATACAATTAAAATTAATCAAAAACTTGTAAATTTTCTATAAAATGAAGAGGAAATTTATCGAGAATTTTTCTATTTGTAGAACATTCAATAAATTTGATAATTTTCTAAAATTTATTAAAAATTGCGAAAAATCTTTTCAGATTGCTCACAACTCGTATTGTAACTGTATTAAAACCAAATTATTATTATGTTTGTTGAATCGACTGTTGTCTGAGTCTAAATATGTACACATTAGACTGCTCCATAAAGAACATGCGAACTATAAACATAAATTTTAATTGACCAAAAATCTTTGGTAAAGTGAAAACATTGACCTCATTAAGGTAGACTATTGGCATTGCCATGAAATTGAACATAAATATGTTGTATGTAAAGATTAATCCGTATTAATCAGTATCATTCAGAAATCGAACCTAGAACCCGTAGACTGATAGAACTAGCGGACTACTAACAAGTCTACACTGTTGCACTCAATTGTTAATTATATTGTATCATTCTAATATTTATATACATTGTGGTTTTATTTGCAATTAAATGTTGCTGTATTTTCGTTGTAGTTTTTGTTGTTCAAGGTAACAACTGAGGGATTTAATTAACTAAATTCATTAAAATGATTATCCGCATGATAAGCAGAAGAAAATTGCTGAATTTGTTTTGAAAAAGAAATAAAATGGTTAGTTTGGTAAAAGTGTTTAAACAGCAAAAACTAAATTGTTGAATGTCATTTAAAATTATAAATAAGTTGCAATAGATATGCATAATAAACTGTATACTAAATACGGGTAAAAGGGTCTTTTCTAAAACGAAAATAATTAGATTTTTTAAAATAAATAATTTTTATTAGACCTAACTTAGAATGCTTATAAAATGATTTTATAATGTTTCATTTAGCTTTAAAAAAAAAAAAATTATCAAGGATATTAGTTTTTGGTCATTCATGTTTGTTTGCCAAAATCGTCCCTCTAAAAAACAGAAACTACAAAGAAATAAACAGCTAACAAAGAGAGAAAGAAAAAACTTTATGTTCATATTTGCATGAACAGTTTTTGCTCACAATTCTAAACATGAACGTAAAATAAAATAAACTTGTACTTAAATCAATATTGGCTGGCGTTATTTAAATAAAATAGAAGTTGTTTCGTCGTACAGTCTGACCATTATCTGACTTGTCTGTCCAACACAGACGGAATATTTTGGCAAAATGTGCATAAATTGTATCAATTTCAATGCAGACGACCGACAGCAACAACCAAATATTCAAAAAGTGATTTAAATAAATACAAAGTCGAGTATAGTGGGAAGGGTGTTAAATTTATGTGCTGGATTGAATGTAAATTTGATATAATAAATGTTTTATAAGTATGCAAAAAGGGGTAAAGATAGACCTATAGGAGTTTCGTATAAATCGGTTCACTAGTTTTTTTTGTATGTATTCAATGCAAATTTTGTATAATAATGGTATTACCAAAAGTGGGCGGAAAAGGGGGCGTGTTACCCAATCATGATCTAATAAAGTAGTGCGGTTAGATTACAGGTTAATCGCATAAGTTGTTCTTTGTATGCCTTGAACAATAACTGTTAATTGAGGGCCTATCATGAAAAATTTTTGGGTAAATTGAATTTGTCACAAGCCGTTGAAATGTCGAGTTCTTATTAGATTGTAAAACTATCAAGCCATGTCGGTCTGTCTATTAATTAACACCCCCCCCCCCTCATTTTATAAAACGAAACTTTCGTTGAAGTAAAACATGTTTATAAAGAATAAATACTGGGAAATTTTTGAAAATTTGAATTTTTTCATACAACATTTTTTGAACGTTTGTCGTTTCGTTTATTAAAATGAGTTCCTAAAATTGTATGAAATTGTTCCACAAATATTCTCGATTTATAAAATAGGCAATATCGGTCCTCTATACAAGTGTTCCCACGTAATACACAGAGAAAAAACTGAAAATGCGTTTCAATTATAAAATTAATTGCACCTGTCAACAATTTTTCCAATTAAAGTAATAATCAAAGCAATTAATATCAATAGTTTAACCAAAATTTTACATTAATTAATTCATTAATTGAATAAATTAAATATTTAATAAAATAAAATTGTAATTCACTTAATTTAATTTATTAATTAAATGAATTAAACAGTTATTTATACAATCAATGATTGTAACAATAATGTATTAATTAAATACTGATCATGTTAAAGGAATATTTTATATACAAGAATTCGTTGAACATTTACGAAAGTTTTCAGTAAATTAAAAAAATAATTTGAATCAATTAAATATTTAATCAAATAAAAAATTGTTTAAATAAAATTTAAAGAATTAAGAAAACAAGTTAATTGAAAATAAACTGACAAGAAATTATTTCTAAATACAAAATCTTAACAATAATTGTGAATTGATCAAATAAATTTTTCTGTTTCATACAATTGTAAGAATTTGAAATTGTTGAATATTTTAAATCTTGAGAATCATTTACAATTTGAAATCTTAATTAATAATGCAGAATAAAGCATATAGAGGGATTTAGCTAAACTTTCGTAGATTATATGTGGTTCCTCCTTTTCAAAGTCTAAATTAAAGGCCGTCGGTCTAGTATTCCATGTATTCCAAAACTTTCTCGTCGTGATGTATGTCACAATTAACAATGTTTAGTTTTATTCTAATACAACAATTTGAACTTGTTCTAAGATATGATCGAAAAAGAAATTCAAATTTAAAACTTTGTTAAACAAGTTTTAAAATTTCTGGGAGATTTCATGGGGAGACGACAGATTAGGATATAATAGTCAATATCTCTTATAGTTAAGCTGTACCTTCAATTAAATTCGGTCGATATGGGGAAAAACGCATTTTTGTAATTTTTTAACAGTACTATAGTCCAGATAATAGACAAAATACATATACATAAGTGTCAGAAAAAAAACTAAAATTGCGTTGAATATTTACTTAATGAATAGTAATGAATATTGAATTTAATGGGTAGTTTTACAATCTACGTTGGAAATTCCCTTTTTAGATTTTGAGGTTCAAAAAAATTATGAAATTTTTTTAATAGCACATCAACGATATTTTTAGCAAAAGCTGCCAAAGTAATAGCGGTTTAAAGGTAACAGTTTAAAACAAGTAAGAAAGTATAGTCGGGCGTGACCGACCATATGATATCCTACACCAGTTATGAATATTACATGTGATTTATTTTTCATAATAAAGCATTTATCTTCTATTACCTTGTTCCGATACATTTAAGCAATTAATGGATGAAAAACTAATTTTCTGAAAGAGGCTTTATAAGGGGACTAGGGGCGAATATGGACCAAGCCCGATAAAAATTTCTAAATATATTTATATTTACATAATATTTTATTGTGCTGAATTTCATCGCGATATTTGTGTTTATAAGTTAATTTTGGACATTCAAGTAATTTTCTGAAGGGGACTTTGTATGGGAGCTAGGGTCAAATGAGGCCCGATCTCTATGAAATTTGGCAAAATCATCAAGGCTTGTATAAAACATAGTTGTGTCGCTTTTTATCAATATACAGGTATATTTAACATAATTATGAGCTCAGAAGCCCTTTTCGGGGGGTTCTGTTGTATGGGGGCTAGGTGAAATAATGGACCGATTTTAACCATTTTCAACAGGCTTCCTTCCTTGGGCCAAAAATGAGTGTGTGCCAAATTTCATTCAATTATCTTGAAAATTGCGACAAGGTTTGCATGGACAGCCATCCAGCCAGACGGACGGACGGACAGACGGACATAGCTTAATCGACTCAGAAAACGATTCTAAGCCAATTGGTATAATTTAAGGTGGGTATAGGACGAATATTTTTGCATTAAATCCAAAATGGTTGTATTTTTTTGAACGGCTTATAGATTTTGATATAGACCTTATTAGTAGCAACCTTAAAGAATATAATTTTATTAATTTTAATTGGCGGGAAGAGTTTTTCATTAGTTTTTCTTAAAAGAAAAACACTGCGTTTTCTGCACACGACAAACTTTGATGCAAATATTTTTGTTAGGCAATAACTGCTCGTTTATAATTATCTTCTGCTTCCATTTCTGAATTTAAATGAAATTTAAATGTGTTTGGAAATAAATTTCATACACATGACCGAACTTTTTTTAATGCATTTAATGCAAAATCATACTTTTTTCTAACGGCTTATCGATTTTGGTATAAGCTTCTTTGTCACCTACCGTGTAACTCAAGAAACTCCGCATTTTCCACAAAAGGCCTTGGAATTTTTTTTGATGCAAACCAATTCTTTCCAAATAAAGATTGATCACTTGACTTTCTCATTTGTAAGCCGCCCTCATAATATCCAAAAGTTGTGAAAAAAATAGTTCGTTTCAATCAGTTTTTTGAGAAATTTTGACTTTAAGTGTTTATTAAACTGTTAAACTGGGATTAGTGAAAATTATTTAAAAAGTTTTTTCATCGTTGGCCTGTGTAATCTTTTGTTGCAACCCTGAAAAATTGGCAAAATTCTAACTGCTAAAATCTGGCAACGTTTGATAATAACATAAATCTTATCTAGGCTATGTACATATGTATATGTACAAAAATAAATATGTAGATTATTTTGTTGTTACGAATGTTATTTTGAAAACAAAAAAAGGGGAATTTCCTAATAATTATTCAATTCATTTCAATTATGAATTACTTAAAAAAAACAACAAGTTTGCACACCACACAAATTATTATGATATATTTTATTAAAATTAGTAGTGTCCAGTTAATAATGTTTTTTTATAGTTATAGTTATTTTATTTCAATTAGTAGTGTTCTACCGAAATGCCCAGTTCATAATCCAAAGCCTTTATTAATGTTCTATAATCTAGTATAGCTGTACTAAAGTCATCTCTATTACCCTCATCTTCTCTGTTAATGTCATCGAGTGCAAAAATGTTTTCATCTTGTAGAATGGTACTGCCCATAAAGGGCAAGATAAGTTTTCGAAATTCAATTTCTGCCTCTTTACGTTTATTTTTCTTATCCATATACGACTCATTATCCGAATCATCATCCCACTGATCTGCCCACTCGTCATCCGATTCGTTCGTATTTTTTTTCAATTGTCCCAACTTTTCACCAAATACATTTCCATTTACGTTGGCATATAAACAAAATGATTTGAAGTCCAATAGCGTTGATGAGGCATCTTCCGATAGTGTTTGTGTTAAACATTCTTGGTTTGATGTATCATGCAGTTTTTCGGGACTACATATAAGGTCCGTATTAGGACAATCATTTTTTATTGAGGTAAATAATGGAAGTATTTGCTTTGGATTGGTAGGTATCGGTTTAATATTATATTCTTTTTCATTGCCACCTCCATCATCATGAGGACAATCACCCATCACCAATTCTGTAGACACGCTATAAATATCCAGATATTTGTAATAGGGATCTTTCTTTACAAGATCCCAGATTTTATCATGAAGAATTTTAACATTTGACGTAGAATCCAAGTTACAAAATATTCTAGTAAAACTATTTATAACTGGTGTTCCTTTTGTGGGATATCTAACAGATATCATAGAATCGGGAACGCTAAACATTATCGACATATTACATTTCAAATCTTTTATCTTAGTACATTCTATATCGAAGTCATCATCATCAGCATTAACAGCGAAAACATCACCACGACAATGGACATTGAGGAATGTAACATTTGTTTTCTTGAGCGTTGCGTTCGCTTGTATGGGTAGTAAAATGTCTTCGATAAAGTTTATTTCTCCATCATTTGTGTAGATAATGTTATTGGAACTGCCATGAGTCATCGTAATAAAGTATAAATTTTTAAGATATGTCATATCTTTACGACACAAATAATCTTTCCATCTCAAAAATTGATCCTTACTAATATCGTTTATTACTATAAACGGAGTTCGGGTTTCTATAAATGTTCTTATCAAATCGAGAACATCGTTTTCACTGCCCTCGCGAGTATCCAACTCAAGTTCAGTATTTGTAAAATAGTAATTATTAATGATAATGGCCAATGCTGGATTCACACCATAGAAATATAAACTGGCAGTTGATTTTAACTGTATCAATAAATATTGACATTTTAGTACTTTTTGGATTTCTTGGGCCGTCGTAAATGGGGTGGAAGTCAATAGGTGCAAAAGAACTTGAATTCCTCTTTCGAAATGATCTTGAAACAAAGTGGTGTTATCTAATTCCATTGACTTGAAAATAAAGAAATCTTCGAACATTGAATCGAAAAGAATATCCGGTGTAAATGCATGTGAGTATCCTCTATAAGAAGCCCAAATCAATTTTAATTGATTCCGTATGCGTTTATTGCTTTGGATTGCCTTAATTATTGTACAAAGACTTTTTCTGCGGCAGCGGGCCTTTTGACAATTAATAAAAATAATTATTGATGAATAGTGTTCGAATGTTGACATTGATAAACGTTCGTAAATATTGTGTGCCTTTACAATCTCGTAGTTTAAATTATTTACATAGTACACATAATTAGGTATTTTATTAAAAACTCGCCACTTTTCATGTTTCCCACAATCAACAGTTAATATTTTTATTTTCAATCCCATTAATTCTAAATTTTCCTCTGTCATACCACTCGCCGAAATCTTCGTTTCGATCGCTGGCTTCAGAATTTTTTTCTTTGATGTTTTTCGTTTTTTAATAACTTTTTTAAACATTTTTTTTTTGTAAGTACAAAAAAACTTGTTGCTCCTTCTTATTTTGTTTTTAATCACCTTTTTAGACATTTTTGAAGTAAACAAAGACGTGCTGTTGCTGCTTCGATGATTATTTTAAATGTGTGAAAATTCTGTATTGATTATTAGTCATTTTTGTTGGAATTTATCGTTTGAAAGCGTTGCCATGTATATTTCTTAAGATCACAATCTCCAAGTTGCCAATATAAATATTGCGCAGTGCGAAATTATTGTTTAGTATTGGTAACACAATTTAAAATGAAAAAATGACTGTTATATTTAAATTAATATAAAACTTAGTAATTAAAATAATTGAATAATTTTTGAAAAAATTCAATTCTCTGTTTAAGTCACTGTTTTGTTTAATTGACTGTTACATTGAAATATATTTAAAAATGTTGGTGACAAACATATTGGTTCTTTATATATTTTTTGCAACATTTAAAAAAACGTTTATAAACATTTTTATAAAAAAAAAATTAAAAATACCCAGTGTACATCGCCAACCTCATCATAAAGGAATTAAATAAATATTTTTGTAAAAGTCAGACATGGGGGGTAATGATTACACAAAATAATTTATTACATGGTCAATTACAATTACTTCTAATGTGTAATTGAGTAATAACCAATTACAAATTCTTGTAATTGTAATTGAAATTTTTCCAGTTACAATTACTTGTAATGTGTAATTGACCAATAACCAATTACAATTACTTGTAATTGTAATTGAAGTTTTGCCAATTACAATTATTTGTAATTGTAATTGAAGTTTCCAATTAAAATTACTTGTAATTGTCATTAAAGTATTACTAATTACAAATTACATGTAATTATAAGGAACAAAATTCACAATTACAAGTAATTGTAATTGGCAAAACTTCAATTACCATTAAAAATAATTGTAATTGTCAAAACTTCAATTACAATTACAAGTAATTGTAATTGGTAAAGCTTCAATTACAATTACTTCAAATGTAATTGTAATTGGTAAAGCTTCAATTACAATTACTTCAAATGTAATTGTAATTGAAAATGTAGTCATTACCCCCCAACCCTGGTAAATGTACATATCGCACACCCAGTACAAAAGTGACTCAAATCAAAATTTTATTTTGCGTTTTTATATTCTAGAAGCCTTAAACTATGCATCTCTAAATAAATATAAGTGTATTTTGTTATTGTTAACGGTTGATGAAAAAAACGTTATGTCTCACTTTATGCTTCGGGATTTTAAAAAAAACGAAGAAGTACCAAAAAGTACTAGAGTCCGACCGAACTCAAAATTTCGTTCGGTACCGAACACCGAACCCGAACTTCGGTAAATTTGATAGTTCGGCCGAACCCTAACTTTGTTCGGTTTTCATAGTTCGGTGAACACGAACTTTTTTTAAATGAAAAATAATACTTTTTTATTTTTGGGTTTTAAACGATTTATTGACAATGATATAATTATCTGTAAGAGCACGCTGAGAAAAAACATGGTTGTGATAACCATGTTCTAAGAGCATTAAAATTATGATTGTAGTCTAAACATATTATCGTTATTGTAACAATTTTAAAATATCATATGATTAAATACCGTCAAAATATTTCATCATGATATTTTTGTATTTATCATAATATTGTTATACATGATATTATGATCCAATGTGATCAAAATTTCGTTTTAAATATGTATCGAGATCAAAATGAATTTTATCGAATGAGTAAAATAAGTTTTTAAAAAAATAAAAAATATATATACAATACTTAACACAATTCGCAAATTTCAATTTGCCAATTTATATGAAATTTTGGTTCATAAAAAAATTTAAGTATAATTTCATAAAAATACTTGCATTTTGAAGCTTGTTATGGACGTTAGTAATTTTCTAAAGCGAACATTATATGGAGGCCATTTCCAAATGTAAACCGATTTTGTCCATTTTGAATACCAATCAAACTGCAACAATAGTTTAGGTCCTATCGTTCTTTCAAGAGACTGACTGACAGACATGTCTAGATCGTTTGAGAATAAGAACCTAGAAAATTTCGATGTTACAAATGAAATCAAAGATTTATAATCGAAACTAGACAATTAAAATGAAATGTTTCACTTTTCTTAGCTTTTTAATCACTTTCTGGTTAACAGTTTTTCAAATCAGCCGAAAAGAAAAACGGTTAAAAAGGCGTTTTGTACCTATGTATATTCGAAATTTATTGTACAGCCAGGATGTATGATAACTTCTGTAAACAGATTTTCAGCATTTTTAAAACTTTTTGATGATATAAAAATATGATAAAAAAACAAAAAATTTATAAAAAGTTCGGCGTTATGTGTTCGGTCAAAATTTCGCCGAACACCGAACATTAACCGAATCTCACATTTTACCGAACTCCGAACCCGTACCCGAACGTTCGGTCGGACACTAAAAATTACCCTTTTTATATATTCTCATTGACTCCGGGCTCCACATGCTTAATTTCATTTTTCTAGAATCAATATTTTACAGACAGAGTTAATACTAATGGACCATAATTTCTTGTAAACTTAGATCTTTTCAAGTGTGAAAATGATTGTTGCATGGTGTTACCTATTGCATTTCTTATTTATAGGAAAATTGTATAATAAAATAATGAATTATACATATATATAAATATATTATCAGGCTTGGCCGATTTTACTTTTTCAATTGTTCAATATGAACTAAAACCTGTACTGCATATTAATTTTATTATTATTGGTCATTAAACTTTACACATTGTTAATTTGCATTTTACTTTCATAAATTCCACTTACTGTTTATTGAACTGCAAAACTGTAGGTTGTTTTGGAAGAACATTGCAACAACAAAGAAAATCCTTTAATATGCACTTCATTGCACAAATAAAATCAATTTTTCCTTCTTCTTCTTGTTGTTGATGTTTTTTGTTTGTTCATTTAATATTTTCCACTGGCTCGTTTGTTCATAGAGGATTCTCCTTTGAACGTTTTATTAGCATGAATTTGCGTATTTGGAACAATTGCATTTTTGTAGAACAAAGTGGAGCATGATACATTTTCAATAGGAATAAGTATGAAGAATATACATACATATGTATGTATTTAGGGAAAGTTGCAACATTAAAAGAAATTTTTGTTTTTAATAAAGATTTTTAATTGTATAAGTTTTCTTGGGGGAGATTAGTACTGACATTTATTTGTAGACGTTTTTTTTTAAATAAGAGCAAAGAAGGGGGAAATAACTTATATTTTATCTAAGTCGCCGTAAGAACGATTTTTAATATTCTAATAAAGCTTCGTATTTAGGTCAAATTCCCACTTTTCTCATGTTTTCTTAACTGCACTAGCTATAGACTACACTATAGACTAGACTATAGACTAGACTATAGACTAGACTATAGAATAGACTATAGACTAGACTATAGACTAGACTATAGACTAGACTATAGACTAGACTACAGACTAGACTATAGACTAGACTATAGACTAGACTATAGACTAGACTATAGACTAGACTATAGACTAGACTATAGACTAGACTATAGACTAGACTACAGACTAGACTATAGACTAGACTATAGACTAGACTATAGACTAGACTATAGACTAGACTATAGACTAGACTATAGACTAGACTATAGACTAGACTATAGACTAGACTATAGACTAGACTATAGACTAGACTATATACTAGACTATAGACTATACTATAGACTACACTATACACTAGTCTATAGACTAGACTATAGACTAGACTATAGACTAGTCTATAGACTATACTATAGACTATACTATAGACTAGACTATAGACTAGACTATAGACTAGACTAGACTATAGACTAGACTATAGACTAGACTATAGACTAGACTATAGACTAGACTATAGACTAGACTATAGACTAGACTATAGACTAGACTATAGACTAGACTATAGACTAGACTATAGACTAGACTATAGACTAGACTATAGACTAGACTATAGACTAGACTATAGACTAGACTATAGACTAGACTATAGACTAGACCATAGACTAGACTATAGACTAGACTATAGACTAGACTATAGACTAGACTATAGACTAGACTATAGACTAGACTATAGACTAGACTATAGACTAGACTATAGACTAGACTATAGACTAGACTATAGACTAGGACTATAGACTAGACTATAGACTAGACTATAGACTAGACTATAGACTAGACTATAGACTAGACTATAGACTAGACTATAGACTAGACTATAGACTAGACTATAGACTAGACTATAGACTAGACTATAGACTAGACTATAGACTAGACTATAGACTAGACTATAGACTAGACTATAGACTAGACTATAGACTAGACTATAGACTAGACTATAGACTAGACTATAGACTAGACTATAGACTAGACTATAGACTAGACTATAGACTAGACTAGACTATAGACTAGACTATAGACTAGACTATAGACTAGACTATAGACTAGACTATAGACTAGACTATAGACAGACTATAGACTAGACTATAGACTAGACTATAGACTAGACTATATACTAGACTATAGACTAGACTATAGACTAGACTATAGACTAGACTAATAGACTAGACTATAGACTAGACTATAGACTAGACTAGACTATAGACTAGACTATAGACTAGACTATAGACTAGACTATAGACTAGACTATAGACTAGACTATAGACTAGACTATAGACTAGACTATAGACTAGACTATAGACTAGACTATAGACTAGACTATAGACTAGACTATAGACTAGACTATAGACTAGACTATAGACTAGACTATAGACTAGACTATAGACTAGACTATAGACTAGACTATAGACTATAGACTAGACTATAGACTAGACTATAGACTAGACTATAGACTAGACTATAGACTAGACTATAGACTAGACTATAGACTAGACTATAGACTAGACTATAGACTAGACTATAGACTAGACTATAGACTAGACTATAGACTAGACTATAGACTAGACTATAGACTAGACTATAGACTAGACTATAGACTAGACTATAGACTAGACTATAGACTAGACTATAGACTAGACTATAGACTAGTCTATAGACTAGACTATAGACTAGACTAAAGACTAGTCTATAGACTAGACTATAGACTA